AACCCATTTATTATATTTTCAACAAAAAAAAATGCATACCGATACACCTCGGTTATAATGAATTATATTTGATCGATGGTTTTTCTTAATTAATCGATAAATTGGATGTTGGCAGGACCGTCGCTGGAGAATGTTGACAACTTGAGATTTTTGACAACTCAAAATTGCTTTATTTATTTGCTGTGGGCTTTTATTATCGTTTAAGTACAATAAACAGGTATATTATTAATTAGCTGCAGAATATGACTAACAACATTACTAAGTAATAATTGCTTCAATATTTTGTAGTTAAGAGCGCTATGGAGCAAGAACAACAAATGCGGCCACCAAAGATGATGGGATGCTTTTGTGAAGGAATTTGTTTTGTTTTGTGACCAGGACAATATCTATGGGTAAACATAACACCGATATTAGTTGTTGTTGGTGTTGTTGTTTTAGATTTAGACAGCTTAAAGGTAAAGGATTGATTGTACCATGACCTGTGCTAAATTTATTGTGTTCTTTTGCAATAGAAAGATTTTCCTCGTAGCTAGTGGTTTGACAAATTCGATTTCCACCATCTTCACTCGCGTCCACAGAGAAAAAGTATTCAAACTGTTAAATTTGTAGCAATTAAATTATACTTGCAAACATCATCGTGTTATCTCATAGTGCCGGAGTAATAACATGCCTGTAAGCGAAGTGCTAGTAATATGGTTCTTCCAAATAACAGAATAACTGATTTGGTTTTAGGTTCATGAATTTAGAGTGCTAATGACCTGGTCAGAATGTGCCAACGGCGTGGAGCGTGCTTTAAACAAGTTGGGCGACAAGTGGAGTTGAGCGAGACAATGATGGCAACGAGCGATATGTGTACAATTAGCGCCAAAGTGTTTCCTCTTTTTTATTGGTATCAGTGTGTATTATAAAAACATTAATTGGGCTTACAAATTAATGTACATACGTCCAAGACAAATTATTTGCAAGTATTACAAATGTGAAAATTAGTATGCCTTATGCGTGTGTAAAATACTTGTACGGAATTGTACAAAGTTGTTAGCCAAGGCTTGTTTTTTAAGTCTTTTGTAATTATTATTACTAGAGTTCCAGTTACTGTCGAAATTCGACAGTTTTTCTAGTTTTAGAAGCCTTGGAGAGATTTTCTAACTTAACACGTAGCGATACTTATACGGTTAAAAATTAACTAACCGGAAATTCTTGAGAAGGTCTTTGGAGGACTTCGGCAGGACTTGGAACTGACCCGATACATTCAAGTTTATCGATAAATTTCGATGATTTGATACATATCGATAGTTCGATGAATTTCAAGAACACTAAAATTCGAATACTCAACAAAATTCGTTAACTCGACCAATTTCGATGACTGGGAAATTCGATGGCTCGATAAATTCGATAACTCAAAAATGTAAAAGCTTTGGATACCTTTATAAGTTTTTACTTTTGACATCTCCACATTTTTCGAAAACTATCTAATACTATCTACACTCTGTTAATATAAGCAGTGATAAATCATAAGCTTATATAAATAAATTTTGCTTTGTTGAACCAACCAATTTCAGTAGATCAATAATTATCGATAACTCTGTAAGTTGAAAGAACTCCATGCATTACGACTCCTCGAAATATTTTGTTAAGTCTATAAATAATGATAATTCAATAAATATCGATAACTTGATATATTTCTTTAACTTGACAAGTTTCGTTAATCCCACACGTTTTTATAGCTCGATAACTATCCGTAAATTTGGACAACTAAGTTTCTGTGTCTATACATTTCGACAACTCAGTAAATATTGATCAGTTTGAATAATTCGATACGTTGCGATAATTCAATAAGCATGGATAAATTTCGATAATTATAAACTTCGATGATTCGATAAATTCAGTAACCTTTATGGCTGATTTTATTTCGATTGCTATCTTTTAACCTAATTCTTATGTATTTCTCATTGTCTCCATTTTCGCCTTTATCTCAATTTTCGTCTTTATCTTCACTTTTGCCTTTTTTTGTCTTCATCGTTATCACTTGTTTCTTCATCTTCATATTTATCTTTATTTCAAAGTTGAATTTCAAACACGAAGTAAAACAAAATGCGAAACAGCTTAAATTGAACAGGTTGCAAATTAACCATACACAAATATGGAAATTTTTAAACGACGGTTTTCAACCAATTTCGAAACTATAAAATCTCTCTTTTTGGTTTTGAAATCGGTAACTTTACCTTGGTCATCATCTTTGTTTTTATCTTTCACATCTTTGCTTATATCCTTTTCTTTTTCTATTCACGTAGATGAGATGAGTTGCGATGACGTGATAAGATGTGACGTGATTTTATGTGATGTGATAGGATGTATGTCATGTGTTTTCATATCCTCTGATGTCATGTCATATGATGTCATACCATATGATGTCATATCATGTGATGCCACGTCATGTAATGCCATGTCATATCATACGATGATATATCATGTGATGTCAAGTCATGTGATGTCATGCCATATAATGTGATGTCATATCACATGATATCATGTCACGTGATATCGTATGATGTGATGTCATATTATGTGATGTAATGTCATGTGATGTCTCTTCATATCATGTGATATAATGTGATGTGATGTCATTTAATGTGATCACATTCCATGTTCTGATTATTATATGGATATCCCTGTTGATAACTGTGTCGATAAAAATACCGATAACAATATCCATA